TAAAACAAAGAAATATAGATGTTGTGTCGCAACATAAACAAATAAAATAAACAAAGCAGTAAACAAATCTCAGCATCAGATACACTTCGTAGAGCAGATAACAAGAAGAAGAAACAACACAAAATATGAAGACGAGGAGTTAACAGATATGGAAAAGTGGGGGAGATTCAACATGCATTCACAGACCTATCAACGTACCCTCTAGCTCATAAATATTCATTAATGCCCAACTCAACTTGGTTCCCTTCTAAGACACCCAGACATGGATACCCACAACTCCCGTTGCTAAGTTTCCAAGTAATAAAAACAAGTTCTAGGCATGATTAGGGGACCTCATTCCTGAGAATCCACAAATACTATAGAAAAGTACTAATCACTAATGAAGCAAGTTAGCAAACCGTAAGTCCTCCCAGGTCAATACAGAAGCTAGCATAGAGAACAAAATGGCCAACAATGCTCAATAAAATATAAGAAATAAAATATAAGAAATAAACACAGCTTCATTAAAAAACGAATATAGCAGCTAGAGGTTCAGTGTCATAGCAGTTACAACATAAGAATCTCCCCCGAAATGGGGCTTAACTCATGATTAAAGAAGAAAATACAATGGGTAAAAGAAAAAGACAACACATCTTAGGGAAATATCAGAAAACCGAAGAAGAAGAAGATGACAGCTCGAAATTGCCGTGGAATATCCCTTCTGTCGTCAGCTTTCTACCCTGAAAAATGGAGAGAATCATCCTCCTTGTCGTTTCAGCTTTTAAAAACGTGCTTCTGTTGGGATCTGTGTGTAGTGGCTAGGACAACACGTTCATTTTATATCGGGTCCCGTTTTTAGGGCACCCAACTGGAATTTGTACGGACCTGGTAAATCCTATGTCTGGGTTGTTACTACGCAGTGAAGCCATGCTCCAATTGTACTTCGCTCCAACTTTTATCTGCTCTGTTTTGAAATTACCTTGCTCTACTATTCTCTGGGCTTAGCACTCTCTTCATGATTTATGTTCTATTTCTAAACCTGTGCATTTAAGCCAAAAATAAGAGAGTTTAGCGCACTTTTTAGCTAAAGCATTCAAGGAATTTAGCTCGAAGTTCGATTTATAAGATTTTTCATGATGTTTAATAGCTAAAACTGACTCATTTTTATATTTCTTTGTATAAAATCGCCCAAATAAACACTAGAATAACTCTCTTTTGAAGAGTTATCACACCCCCAAACTTAAAATCTTACTTGTCCCCAAGCAAGATCATGCACTTTTCCCTTGTTCACCAATGAAGAGTGTTAGGAATCTGTACTTCAAGCATCCTACCCTATGCATCAACCTTTCATTTTGATCAACAATGCTAGAACATACATACTCTGCTAAAGTACTTCAGTTGGAGCAAAGAAATGAAAGCAGCCTAAGTTCGTTCACACTTTGGAAGACGTTATTTTTTGCCCAACTCTGGCTTCCTTCTACTTCCCAACCTCAAGCTTAACATCTTCTAGGGATTCCTTTCTCAAGCCCCTTTCACTAGCCTAAACATTTAAACTTTGCACTACCAACTTGGGCTTCTTTAACCATGGGCTACTGGCCCTTCTTAATCCTGCAGTCTCTTTATGCTCTGGATGCGGGCTGCTAGTCCCTCTTTTATTGACGATGATGATCATTTTTTTTGGGCTGAACTACAGGATTAGAAAGATTCATGGTTCTATACAAATGCAAATAAAGATGTAAGAACTGGAAGTGCACTCCCCCAAACATAAAAGGTTGCATTGTCCTCAATGTAGCTAAGGACATCTAGAATGTAATGCTCTAGTATACCCTGAAAGTTAAAGCGAATGTAAAATGAGAAATACAAGCATTTTCGCTATCAAGATATGTACATGAGTGTGGAGGGTTAATGCTATCAACTAAAAGGGTTTAAAATAAGAGGTTCATGCTAGCTATACAAAGATAAGGGTTGACTTTGGATAGATAACCATTGAAATTCCTCCCTGAGGTAAGCGCTACCTGGGGCTAGTAATACGAGAGGGATGCTAGGGTATGGGCAAGCAAACATGAACCAGAGGGAGAACAAAAGAAAGCTAACCCTCATTAAAATGCTCTAGCACCTACAGGAAAAACTGTGTACTTAGCAGGCTCTAGCATCAAGACTATATACAAAGGGTAGGGCAATAGATAGGCAATGAGAACACAAAATTTCTA